AATATCATCTACAACCCAATAAAATCTTTATTCAGAGAGTACATACATCACAATCGGGATAGTAAGGGCATTTCATACTTGTTTTAAAACTTCGGTTGTGAACTGGCTTTTCACATCAACTTTTGGCATGATAATATGCTAACTTCATTTTTATTCTTTTCGAGACACTTAAATGCGTACAAATTGATAACAGCTGTATTTAATTCTACTCGCGAAAAAATAAATCTTTAGAATTAGATATTAATTGCCGACTTCTCTGCAATATCTATTTTTATTGTAACTTTCAAACCATTATTTTATTATTATCAACACTGTTCAAGACTTCAAAGTAGATTATCGAATACTAAAATCCGTACCGGCAAGAGGTTGAGTTTATATATATATATATATATATATATATATATATATGGAATCTCTTTATTTTCTCGCTTACTATGTATTTACACAGTAAAGATCCTCGTTCCATTTGGTCAAACTCGAGACCCGGCAAACTTCAAAGGGAGATTTTGATTTTGGGGTGTACCTTACAACGGAAAGCAGTAATTTAACAATATTTTCAAAAGTTTCTAACAAATTCTTCCAATTGTTTATTAAACACTTTCCACCCATTAAGCAAATGACCTTTAAAAAGAGTAATTTTCATTAAACTGAATTAATTTTCGAAAATAGTAAAAGTTCATTTTTTCAGCTTTTTCTACAACTGCAATATTGTAGAAATATTTATTTTTGAATATCTAGCGACATTCACGAAGTTCTTGAAACCTCCCACTCTAAACGTCTAGATAGTGTGATCACTCAAGAGCTTACAGAGCAACTGGCGATTGATTTGGCAAAGGATAACTAGAATATAAGTTAGTGGTGTGCCCAAATAGGACCTAAATGGAATAATTTATAATTATAAATATGAAATCAAAAACACGTACGAATTTTTGAAAGTTTTTTTCGAATAAACATTAGAATCGTGAAATGTGATCATTTTCTGAAATTTCATGCCTAGGACTATTTTTGTTTCTAATCTTGGTTACCCTGCACTTTACCCTTCCTGTTTACTGACAGCAAGATAAGTTATTTTTGTCGCATGTCTTTGTCACATAAGGGCATGGGGAAGCAGGTTTCATTCATTAGTATTTGAAGGTTGTAATCCGTGAAATGTAAAAGTATTGTTTATGAAAAATACAATCCTTGAAATTCAATCATATACAACATCCGCATATTGAGAACTTGTGCAGTTAAGTGTGATATTTCTATAACTGTTTAATTTAACTAGTAACACGAGATCCAATAGGTCTTGTCAAAATAGTTTTATTATTAAGGCAAATTCTAATTTCATTCACACCTCATCAATAGTTTCGGAATAATTGCATTGGGCTGCTTTGCGTTTATTGCGCTACGTTATAAGAGTGACCAGCTCCATTTTCTCAAGACACGCCATTTTATGTATAACATATAGATCAGGAGGCTCAATATCGATAGTGTGAACAATGAATTTCACAGAAAGAAGCCAAACAGTTTCTTTATAGAATCTAGCTTATTGATCTCTTCGTGCCGAATATCACAGAAGTGAGACAATAGACCGTACCGGACCTAATCACACCTTTAGCAGGCTTCTCACTCGCCATCGAGCCAGATTTTCTGACGTCTCAGAGTTAATGATAATTCTCAGATTCTCTCTAAACTATTGTTTTTTGAGTGACTCTAAGGACATAAAACGAAATAAACTGTAAATTAATATTAGTTTAAGGGTAATGGGTTAAACAAAAGCAAGCGAAATGAAATAAATGCGCGAGTGTACATTACTGCCAATTTACATGGTCCATGTGGCGATATTTTTTCTCTAGAAGTATCCTCGTGGTTGTGGCGTGTACGGTAAATGTAAACCATCACACATCCCGTATTGTGAAAAATTAAGTAGCCAAGCGTCTGACATTTGGTTCCGATTGTGAAGCTCCCCAGCCCAGGTGGATGAGAGCTCATTGGAAACCTTGAAGAGCGGGACGGTCTTTACATTACATCCCCACCCGCTACGAACCTGTTGGACGGTGGGGAACTCTCCAAACGTTTGATGCAAATTGTGAAGCCTGCAGATCATCTTAAGAGATGAATAAGTACTTATTTCAATGCTCGGAGGACCTGTTTTATTAAAAAAACGTTTTTGCAAGCACATTTACTTCATTTAATTTCAATTTAAAGAAAAAAATGTTTAAAATTAAAAACTTAATGAAATTTTTGATTTTTTCATTTCACGTTTTATTTCATTTAGTAGCCAATTCAAATACATATTATTTAATTATTGTAAGTTGTTTTGCTTAATTACTATTTAGAACTTATCGCCGTTTTTGTCAGTTCCTTTATCTAATTCCATAATAATCCACTACATCAGGAATATGTTATTAGCATTTAGTTGAATTTATCCAATTCTTAAAATTACGAGGAGATCGCCACCTATGGATGCAACCATTTCAACATTTCATCTCTGCTGAGCACGATTCGAAGCCAAATCCTCTGGCAGAAAGAAAGAATTCGAATACTGGTTTTCGCATTCCATTTTATTTCCATTTCCCACCCCTTATCATCAATGTCATTATCATTCCCTACCCACTATCGTTCTCTAACAATTATTCCCTTTGGGAAGAAAATTCATCAGAAGCATCTCACGCCCTTTCCATCCAATTGCCCGTACTCGGGGTTCATCCTACTAAGGCAATCGTCTAATGGAATAACAAATAATAAAAATATCATCTTGAAAAGTTTCGGCTTCTTTCTCCCCCTTCTCTCTCCCTTTCGATGTCCCTCTCTGTCTCTCATCTACCAATCTATATATCGCTGGATAGATTGGAAGTACCACATCAACTCTGTTATAGAAGTGTCTCAGAATAAATATTGAAAACTTCTAAGACATGTATACAGAATAAAAATATTGCCCTTTGAAATTGTAAATTTATGTATTTTGCATTTTGAGTCGACAATCCGAGTTTGTCGACCAGATAACGATGTCTCTTACGTCTGGGCCTAGTTAAATTCCCGTGCTTGGGGTAAAAACGAGATGTGGCGGATACAACGTATTCCCTTCACAGTAACTAACAATCTCCGCCTGCCTAATGAAATTGTAAATAACGGAGATATGTGCATTTATACGTGGGGACACTTGCCCCTGATGTTTAGGCAACACCTTTTGCTCAGGTGTCCGACAGATCAGACGGAGTCAAACTTCAAATATCTGCGGAAACTGGGTGCATACGGGGTCGCCTAGAAATCCGAGGCAAATTTTATATGTACAAAAGCATTTGTCTCACCCACACTTACACTAACATGAATTACACTACCAAACATGTCGGGAGACCAGTCTGGAGCTTGGAGCTTCTCCTCACTGGGGCAGTGCCCCACTGGTGGGAGATACCTGATTGAAGAAAATCCCGCAAGCCGACGTGTAGACCGGCGCCGGATCTCGTCATCCAGCGAAGATCACCGCCAACTCCCGCAAAACAAAAACCTGCCCCTACCACCCGTTCGGGACTAATGACTATTAACCAAGTCCGCTCGCCCCCGGAAACACTAATCAATCAAATGTTGAAAAAATTCTTCAATAAATGATGTAGATTCATTAGTGCGCAACTCCAAACCAGACATATAAAGCCTTAATGTTCGCCAGCGAATAAATTATTATCTATTGTCAATAGGCCAGATATGTATGAAATAACTGACGAGGTTTATATCGAACCAAGTCCGTTATTTGTAACATTGGTCCTGTGTCATTCAGTACTTTTCGTAATATCACCTTCTTGTAAAAAAAATAATACAAATAAGAAATACATCTTCTTGGAGGGGTACTCATCAGATATATTTAGCTACAACTTACTTGTTTTGATTGCTCTTAACGGTCGAGATACTGTAAAATCCTTCGTCGGCCGTGAAGCCTGGCTTTTCGTACCTGTTGTAGCGTTAGTTCGATATAACAGAACAGTTTTATGAAAATATTTTCTTGAAATGTCAGTTTCTCCGAGCGATATCACGTGAGCATGGGCTGGTAACCTCGAGCGCCAGGGGGAAGACAAGAGAGCGGCACAGTAGGCCAGAGGTCTCCGAGGCCCCCGGGGACAAACACTCGAAAATAAATCGGCCTCTCAAAAGAACTCGACCGAAATAACAAGATGGATCTCCTTCGAACACGACTTGCTCAATAGCACGACTATTTTTTTCCAAGAAATTATGAATAATCTTAGATAATGCTCATATCTATAAAAACAGCCTTCACATCAGTTTTTGTGTTGCTGTACGGATTACTTTTTACTTTCAGTACTTTCCAACAGCTTCCTCGACCCGAAGAGGAGCAATGATAGCAAGTGAATTTTTATAGAGAACGGATATGCAGTGATTTGACGAATTCTGAATGAATTCTTTCAAAAACTGCTTAAAAAACATTTCACCATTTAAAACACGCATTTTCTATTTGACGTTCTTATAAGTTGTAACCATTTGAAAAAGATGAACATAATGTCCAGTGAGGAATTATTACTGCCTATAATTAATGAAATATAAGAGATGTCAGAGGTGAATGGTGGAATAAAAAAGGCAGATGTTAACCAAGAATAGAAAAAATAGACAACATTAATTAATGCAGCATAAAGAGTGATCTGTTTACACAACAAGGAAATCGTAAAGTGACCCCTGATACTCTACTTAAAACATTTTAAACTTGATTACACACTGATCAAGCGGAATTTTCCGAAACAAATAAAGGGAGTAATCTAGGAAATCGCTTTATCGAGTACGTCCAAAAATTAATCGCCACGACGAAACGCCCTCATGAAGAAGAACGATGCTGCCCAGCTTCACACAGCAGCAGGGCGCGAGGAGGAAAACCGGGAAATCCAGCGATCGGAGACGTCCCCCCGCGCCTGTCGGGGGCGTAAGGTCGGCCGTGCCCCCAGGGTGGGGGCGGGGGCGGGCGGCGGCGCGCAAGGGCGCGCTGGCGCGCTGGGACCTCCGTCGTTCCGTCAGTCATGAACCGCCGTAGACGACGCGCCCGACAGCAGCTCCCAAGCACTGCCGACCTCCGCCATGCACAGCCTCCCCCGCCCCGCCACGCCCCGCCCGGTGAGTGTAGAGCCGGTCGCCGAACGGTGGCTCGAGGGGACGTCTGCCCTGCTCCCTCGCCCCCGAGCGCAGCAGATGGATGCTCGAGTAGGCTTAACGACGACCACGACGACGACTTCGAAGCTGCAGGCCGCCATTCACACCGAAGACTTACAAGGTGCGAGGGAAATGCCTCAACAACTTCGTTGATTGTTGGGCGATGCTTTGCGTGCATATAAAGAACTAGATACATACTAATATAATTAACAACTACACATATATGTTAACCACTTTGGAATTAAGAAAGATAAAAGTAATATCCTCACGCCAACAACTGGAACCTAATACTTTGACGAGCTCTAATCGACAAATCTCTTAACCTCATTTATGAACAATGTGGTAGGAATCACAAAATGTTATAAATACCATACAACTGAATTCATTCGTAATATTTTAGAGAAATAATTTCAACTATTCTGGTTCCAGGTGCACTCAAACTCGGAATCCTGTTAATGTCGAACCCCACCCAAACCAAAGCGCGTTCTTTGCCCGGGCGCGAGACACCTTCTCCGTTGGCTGGGAGGCGCGTTGCCATGGGAGCGGGGAGCGCGACCCCGCGACCTCTGACCTTGCGCTGCGTGCTCCGCGGCACATTCATAAACTGGCCGCGCTCGCAGCTGTTCCCGCCCCGCCACGCCCCCTCGCTCAGAGAGAAGCTTCCGAAACAGAAAGGTCACTCAATCTCCACTCGAGACAAAAAAAAAGACCTGCCGCGAAAAGATTTAGATCCTCCTCAAATTTCTCTTGACATAATGTCGTGTAATCTTGCTTTTACATCCATTCATACCGCGGAGAGAAAGTTTGGTCAGGTCATATTTTAACGTCATGTAACTGCCAAATGTTTAATTATAAATGAAGGTACGAATACTTCACACTTAAAAACATTCCCGCGATACCATCTAGCTCCTCAAATTTCTCTTGACGTACAATCGTGTAATACCAGTTTTACATCCATTAATTCCGCGGAGTGAAAGTAAGTTCAAGATATTTTTTGACCTCGTGTAACTGTTAAATGTTAAATTCTTAATGAAGGTAAGGTTTCAAAAAAATCAGTTTTATTCCTGCAAACTACAGCATTTAGGTCATACAGAGAAGTTTCTTCGACGGGGAGGTAAAATCTCCGATCAATCTTAGCGAACGTAAGGCCTTACGGCGATTTGAACGGATCATTTTTAAGAGGTATTTCATCTGAAAACCGTTGGACATTATCAACATTTTCTCAAAAATTGCTCCAAAGACGGTTTTGCTCAAATAAAGGGCAATTTGTTGATAGTTATGATAATTGTTTCATTTACGCTAAAAATTACGAATTATCGAAATTTACTTTCGGAAATTATTGAAACATCTTTCATTTTTCAAATCTGTCCCACACATTCTTTATTCAAGCTACAAAGTTTGTTCTCTATACAATGATTTTTTCAATATTAAACTTTTCAGTCATAAAAAATTCATTTTTTTAAAATAGTAGTTTTGAAAAACATTGAATCCAATATTGTCAAGCCTTCCAGAAAGCATATGAATTTGTTATTCTCTAAACACAGTGTTATTAATCTTCATACTTCTGTCGAATTCTCAGAGGTCATTGACTTAGATAACTCGTACTTCTTGTCAAGAACGAAAAATATTATTGCATTGTGCTCCATATTTATGACTTTATTAATGATATAGTAGATCTTTGAAATTCAATTAATAAGGATGTGTATATTTGAAATAGTGTATGTCCTGAAACAAATTATTTTGAAATAATTTGCAGACGCATGAATGAAACTAAGGGAGCAGATTCGTTCAACAAGGTCAAAGGTGAAGTGCATAGTACACGTTTATCACAATCGGATACAAATTGGAATTATCTGTCTTAATCTTGCAGATCTATTACTTTACTCTTTCAAATAATGACGACAAACGGGTACGCAACCAACCAGTTTTCTAAAGAAAAATTTGAACCGTTTATTTAAAAAATTGGAAATGTATTACCAGCTTCATAACATGATCTCCAATAATCCCTTTCAAGTTCAAAGGACTTCAAGTTGAAGCAGCTCGATCAATAATGAACATCAGTTTTGAGCAAAATCTTAGGAGCGGTTTTGGCGCTCGTGTTGTTTGTAGTACATTATTGTTTACATATGTTATCTCTGAACCTCATTCTTAAAATATTTGGTCGCGGACGTGTTCACAGATTTTATTGAATATCGTCAGTTTACACCTAACAAGTTAGCTATCTTGAAATCCGTGAACTTATTTTTGTCAACTGAAATTTGTAAGTTATACAATTATCACTAAATAATTTGAAGTTACAATAACTTAATTCTGTATCCCAACTATTTTTCTGTCAAAACATTCTCCGAAGAGAGAGGATACCTCCCAAAATGTAATATGACTTCAATAATGTATTATTTTGCATATTGCGGCATAAAGAATAAGCATAACACATGTCAGCACATTCAAAGAAGGATTTAAGAGCCTGGAAATAATCGTTTCCGAAGGAATGAGGCAACGAGACGTGTGTTGCGTGTTGCGAGAGCAAATGCTGCTCTCCTTGTTTCATAATCTGCGAAATTCTAAATGTTTCGTCTTCAATCTGTTTAACGCGCCTTGTGGTACCCTGCCCAGCAGTAGTACAATTACAGATTTACTAGCGAAGGTGTCTTATAAATCGAATAAAACCCTCATATTTCGTTAGTGGATTATATTTAGACGGACGGAATAATAATGTATGTATTTGGTATTTTGAGTCGATAGACCGACTTTACCGGCCAGCTAACTGTATCCCACGTGCCTGGACCTAGTTAAATTCCCATGCTTCGGATGAGAGCGCTATGTCGCGAACATGACATATTCCCTTCACCGTAACTTGCAAGATCCGCCTGCCTGAACTTCGTCACAGCTACAGATACTGGGATGATTTTAAAGTAAAATTACCACTTTCTATTTACCTCGACCGGGAATTGAACCCGGGACCACACTACGATAAGCTAGTATGCTGCCCATGAGCAGGATGCCGGGGATGATGATGATGATTATGTCTTAGCCTGTACATTCATTAGCTGTGATTCTAGAACAGTAAACCTAGGCTCAAATAAATTCGTCAGAACCGGGGTCACTTAGAATAAGTGATGCCCCGCGACGAAACAGACGAAGGACAACACTACTAACTTGTGCCCACATTAAAATTCGTAACGCGATTCTCGACACAGAAACACAGAATTAGTGGTTACTCTAGAACAGATTATTGTAATAACAAATGTTTTATTTTATTCAGAAAGTTAAAGACACTACTTAATGCCCAAACATGTTGCTAACGTATTTTTATTTTGGTTCAATTTGGAATAAAGTTATACAATGCGATAAAGATTATTCATCGCCTTGTATAATAAATTACTAATAACTATGTGAACTAAGCTAATTAAAATTGTAATACCAAAATCAGTACAAAAAGTACATTTTGTCAGTCAACATGAAAAGTTTCGATGATAAATTGCTTCTCTAATTCACATAATTTTAGATTTTTCTGACTATTGATCTAATGATCTAATGATGAGGTATTGTTGGCTTTAGAATTCGAGTAGTAAGAAATTATGTCTTTACCAACATTAATATGTAAATAAATTCCAACTTTCCTTAAAATAGAACGTTGCTTATCTCATTGGCCATTGGGTCATTTGGCCGACATACAGCACTTAATAGACGCAGATAAAGTTTGTAAACCAAGCCATTAGCCGTGGTTTATAACCAACCACGTTTGTTATGTGATATGCCGTGTATCGCTTAAACGTTTTGTATTATCGGCGTCTTATAAGAAAAAAATGGTATAAATAAGAAATTATTATCATTGGAGAAGGAGTACTCATCCGCCATTTTTAGTTGCAATTCATTTGTTTTAATTGTTTTCCATGGACGACGAACTGTAAAATCCTTAACGGACGCCGGCCATTAGGGGTGGCTTTTTATTCCTCTGCCTAGTCACGTTAAGTCGATGTAACAGAACAATATTACGAAATATTTATGATACGAAGGATAAAAATGACATTTTATTTGGCGAGAAGGAAATGTTGCGACACGAGTCTTGACATACCGAGAGGCGCAGTCCTATAATATCACTTTTACAACGTATTGCATACACTATTTTTTAGATAGCCTTACTGATTTACTTTTATTTTTCAAGTATACAAATCTATTAATGATACTTCTAAGTTCAGAAGTAGTTGATGCTGTTATACGAAATTATTTTATTTTCTTTGCATTCAGAAACTTTTCTGAACACTTGAGCATCGCCTCACTTGTAGCACCAGTGCTAAAAATTGAACTTTAAGCACGCTACGCGTGCCACAAAAGAGCGACTTTTATTAGTCACTGTCTAAAAAATAATATAAATATTGGGCTAGCAAATAACATGCGCGACTGCGCGTTCGTGCAAGCGTCTAAGCGCGCGTCCTGGTTGCAGAGCCCCAGCCATGCGCGCGCCCGCTGCCGCCTCGCTGTCGTCGCCGCTGCTGCTGCTGGCTGCCGTCGTGGCGCTGGCGCTGCTCCTGGCCGCCGGCCCCTCCAGGTGAGCCCTCCACACGGCAAGCACGCTGCTAGGCGATTGGTCGAGTGTTAGGGATTCCGGGCGCGTCAACTGCTAAGGTCATTAACCCCGTAAGTGCAGTGCTTGCTTTTTCCTTCGGGAGGTGACAGTGGTCTTTCCCAGCTAGATGGCGAAATCCAGAGCCGATCTACCGTCGGCTAGCGAGGTTTTCCTCAACCATGTATCTCCTAACAGCTGAGCATCTTCCCAGTCGGGACAAGCTAAGCTCCCGACCGGTCTTCCGACAGGTGTGATAGGGTAGAGCATGTTAGTGTGTGGCAATTATATTATCTCATAAATTATTAATTTCATTCACCATCTTCATAGGAACTTCATCCTGTAGCAATGGAATGTATTCTATGATTCTTTTTCTCATCTCAAATGCAATAAACACATAAAGTTTCAATCTGTGAGAACATTTGCCTCCATATCTATGAAAAAATGACATATTGTGGTGTCAATAATTTTTTTCCGAAGATAAATGTAAGGGTTGCCTTATAGAACTTACGGGTAGTATCTCGGGCTCTAAACCCTCCGTGATGTATCGGTAGCTG